GGCCATTAGCCAAGACTTCACCTCGTTAATGCAGGACACAAAGGACTGGATAGAGTGACCTTTCTCCTGACACAATGGAGAGTAAATCTGGCAATCGTCAGCATAGAGATGGAATGATAGGCCATGTTTACGAAAGATTGACCCCAGAGGAAGCAGATAAATGGCAAACGAAAGAGGACCAAGGATCGATCCCTGCGGGACCCCCCAGCGGAGCCCCTCCCAAGAAGAAAAAACATCACCCAGTTTAACACAGCATGTCCTGTTGTGGAGATACGATCTAAACCTGTCCAGAGCTGACCCTTTGATCCCAACCCATCGTTCCAAGCGATCAAGTAGAATCGCGTGGTCAACTGTGTCGAAGGCTGCCATTAGGTCTAACAACAGAAGCACCACAGATGTTCTTATGATGAGTTCAGATGATGAGTTCTTAAGCTTTAGTTTGTATGCATTTTTATGTTGTCTATTGTTTTTAATGTTTTTAAATTCTGTGAAGCACTTTGTTCAGTTTTATACTGTAGTAAGGTGCTATATAAATAAAGCTGACTTGCCCTTAATGCCATGACCACCAAAGAAGCTGAGGTCTACTTCGAGGTTGGCAGCAGCCAGCTAATCCACAAAGCCAGGTTTGACATTAAAGAGTATGAGATACTGCTATTTGAACACTGTCTATGATGAAAGTAATAATGAAGAATGCTATGATATTCAAGCATGTCCTGAACTACTTGGTCACTGTAATTATGATGACATGTAAAAGTTAGAGAAAGTAACCAAAGGAGTGAAAATCAAAGGGAAAACCAATAAATGTAAAATCGACAGACATTTGCACTCATGAACATCTGTTCAGAGTACAAACTGGTAACCTCATGTGAGCGCTAAAGAACCATTGGCGCTTGAGCATGCAGATCTAGGTAGTCATAACAAGCCCAGAGTACGAAGGTGGGTCTAGATGTGCATTAGCATTTACAGGTGACTGTCCAGGTGCTTCGTTTATTCCCTGAGAGGTGAAAAGGATCCTGATGAATAAACACAAAAAGATTCTGCAAATGCAAAAAAGCACCTAAACAATGAACTGCCTAAACAATGGGAGGGAAATTAATCTTTATGAAGGTCTTGACCACAGTGGGTCAGTAAGTCAAAGTACTTCCAGTTTTTCACAATAGTTGTGATTAAATCCAAAAACTCAAGCCAGTTAAATAATAGTGGTCCAATGAAGTAGCAAATTATCCAGTAACTGGCAGTTCCTCCAAGCAGTGGAAAATAATCAAAAAAATTGGTCGGTCATCCAAGCAGCAGTGAAAGAACAACAAATAACACTCCTACAACAATGTCTAGGTGGCTTACCCTTCCTGCAATCAGCGAATGCTAGAAAAAGACCTAACCTAATGGAAGGTCAGAACCGTAAAACATAATAATTGGGCTATAGAGGTTTGAGTAGCATCATAGCTTGCCCTTAAAATTAATGTGCACATTTCTAAAGTCATATATACAGACGTGGATAAAATTGTTGGTCAATGAAAGAAAACACCACAATGGTCACAGAAATAACTTGAATCTGACAAAAGTAATAGTAAATTAAAATTCTATGAAATGTAACCAATGAAAGTCAGACATTGCTTTTCAACCATGCTTTAACTGAATAATTAAAAAAATTAACTCATGGAACAGAACTGGACAAAAATGACAGTACCCCTAGAAAAGACTGAAAATAATGTGACCAAAGAGACATGTTAATTCAAGGTGTGTCCACTGATCAGCATCACAGGTGTCTACAAGCTTGTAATCAGTCAGTGGGCCTATTCATAGGGCTTGTTCTTTTTAAGTCCTACTAAATCCACTGTGTCTGTTGCATTTTAATGAGCTTCCCCCTAGGGCTGCTCAATTAATCGAATTTTAATCACAATTACGATCTGAGTTTTGAACGATTATACAAACAAAACAAGCGGATTATTTGCTCCTCCCACTTAACGCTGCCCTGAGTTGCAAATGAAGCGCTACAGTGTTGCCAACTTGGCAACACTTTTGACGCTATTTCCAACAGCTTTTCAGACCCCCTTCTTGACTTTTTTAATCCTAAAAGTACCTAGTGAACACCTCAGAAATCTCTGGTAACCCTTAGCTACTTTCTGGATAACTGTCGTTGACATTTCCTGCAGGTTAGCTAAACACTCCGCCTGCGCTCCGGACCGTTCTTCAGGACATTAGGAAAGGGAATGATGCAGTGATGTGTCAGTCGCTAAAGAAACAGCTCTCAGAGCCGGCTCCCTGTTGGAGTAACCAGAGTGAGTGACACACACACCGCACCTGCGGGCTCCTGAACCGCTAAAAACGGCTAAATGTGCGTGTGCGGCGCGCTAAACACACGTGCAGCTTGCCCCTGATTGCTGTGAGACCGGGTTGGGGGGTGGGGGGTGCAGCTGTGGTTGGGACAATTATTACATTAACTGATGGACTTGTAAATAAATAGTTTATAAATAAGGTAGAAATAAGTTCCTCACGCTGATAAATAACTAATCTCTCTGAGGAGACGGTGCTAGTGCACTCTCCTACAGCACCTTGACACGACTCAATAAATGTTATGCAACATTTTATGAAGATCAATTAATTTACATTTATTTGTTATAAATGCCACTGTATAATTCTTGCTGTCAGTATTTGCAAGATATTGGTATTTGGGTCTGTACTGGTTAGACTTAAATGAGTTAAACCATGGTCTATAGCCCTTGGGTCATAAACTATGAGCTGTAAGTATATTGGTCTTTTTATACTGGGAATCAGGAGTTATTTTAGTGATCATCTTGTTTCTTATTTATTTTTGTCCTGATTGTGCCCTGAGCAATTTTATGACTGAATAAAAACAAATAAAATCAACATAAATTGAAAAACTGTCTTAAATAATCGAGATCGCAATTTCAGTCACAACAATCCTGATTATTATTTTTGCCATAATCGAGCAGCCCTACTTCCCCCACATGTTTTTACAGCGTTTCCCCTACATACCCCCCCCCCCCCCCCAACAGTGTTTTCTAGGGGAAACACTGTTGCATAACTACAGTAGTGGTGTGAAGAAAGGGGGGATCTCTGCTGGCTACAATGGCTACACGGCTGGTATGGACGGTTCTGAAAGGCGTTGATCAGAATTTGCAAATAACGTGTTTTTCACATAAGTCGGCCGATTTTGATCAGTGGCCGATCAACATCACTAGTTGCTTTGAAACAATGCTAACACTCTATCACCAACATCAATATAACCAAACAAATCAGCCGCTCATCAATGAGTTGTGGCCAGACAATGACTCAGCATTTGCTGAACACACCTGAAACACCTAGTACAGGTCACTAGAAGGAAGTAACGTACAAAAATGACATGTTTTTTTTTTTACTACCTGAAAACTAAAACTTTGATGTTGGAGACAGTGTGGACTAGGGGTTGCATGACTTAATTTTTTTTTAAGTCGACAGTCAAGTAATGAAAATCGAGTCGACTTCGACTAGTCGTTGATGACGTCATACACCTGAAGCGGTGGGGTGGGGGGGGGTCGGTAGGTTCGCTGGAGTTCGACAATTGAAATTGCGCCCACATTTTCTAAGTTAACACATCTCTTTTAACAACGGTAGTTTCTGCTTCCTACTTCAGCCCTCTCCCCCTCCCCCTGCTTCAGCCCTCTCCCCCCTCCCCCTGTGCAGCGGCCGCAAACTCACTGATGCGTCTGCAGCCTCTCAGAGTTCCTGCTGCTCTAAACATTAAAATAATTATTTCATTTTCTGTTCCTCACTTCTGATTACCTTCAATGGTGTCTGTTTGTTGCAACCACCAGGTACAAAAACTAACTTGTTTTTATTTGACTATTTTTCTGTCCTGCCTGTTTATTATCTTCCTGCATCTCCTCTCAATCCTAAAGAAAAACTGCTACCTGGGTTCATTTATATTCACCTTATGAGTTACCTTTGAACTGCAGTTCTAAAAGATCTACCGACCGCAAAAACAGCGGAGTGCCGCTGCTCGCCGGCCGACTACAACGGAACCGTTTTTGCTACGGAGTTCGTGCCGGAGCGGAGATAGTGGAATTTTGGGGGGGTGTCACCGGAGAACAAAACAGGTGATGCGCCTTGCTCCGCAGCAGCGAAACGCATCAGGTACAAATAACAGACAGAAAATATGAAAGGAAATGAGCCGACATGAACGATCGCGTGTTTAAATATTTTTTGAGGCGGTGACACCTGATTTGGCGGTGCTCAGGACGCAGATGTCTGGAGCGCGTCAACGATCAGAGCTTTGCATGCGCAAACTGGTTAAGATTAGGATGGGGGTGAGGGGAAGGTAAAATTGCAAGAGGGAAAAGGTCACAGTTTGGTTAAATGTCTGTTTTACCACCGGTGTCAGTACCAACGCTCTGGCACAGCGCGTCGCCTCTGCCTCCCGACGCAGGGGCTCATCACCTGCTGTCTTTTCCGAGGACTGCATCTTGTCAGTCATTATCACGTGACAGCGACTAGTCGATGACAGGCATAAAAAGTCACTACAGAGCCGTGAAGTCGACTAGTCGACTAGTTCATACAACCCCTAGTGTGGACATCAACAGGAGGTCAATCACGTTCACGTCATCTGGGTTTTCCCTGCTATTCCACCATAAAGGAGTCAAAATGTAGAAATAATCATCCAAGTGTTATCTTTTGAAGTGGAAAAACAGATTTTTGTACTCTTTACATTTAAAAGAAACCCTACCACTAACTAGGCTAGCGGCTACGATGTTGATAACTTACAAATTGCGGGGAAAATGATTAGATTTGCTGGATTTTGAATCTACCTTCTGTTAAATGTGAAGACTGCCACATTTTGTATTTTCCTTTCTTTTTTGTTTTGTGTTCTATCTTTTCTCTGTACAGCTTTATTTTAAGAACACATTTATTTAATTTAGAACCATCACAAATTGTGTATCAAGCATTTAATGATTAGTTAAAGTAATAATCAGAGTGTTATTTGTTTTTGTTTTGAATTTCAGGCTGCACATACACAGTGCATATGCAGACCCACTTGGGTGGAACGACCACTCGGCTTTCACCGTTAACAACTTTAATTTGGAGGAACTCACAAATCTGGTCAAACAAACATCTGACCTGAAACCGGCCACACTAGTCATCGATTCGCTATCGTGGGTATTGAGGCATGTGGCTCCGCCTGCTGTTTGCAGCATACTTCACCAACTCAGAAAAGGTAAAACAGATTTTTAATCTGTTTTAGTTTTTGTTGATAAAACACAAAATGTGTGTGTTTTGGTTTAATCTTTTAGGTACAAAGTGGAGCTTGTGGTTAAATGCTGTATTATTCTGTTTTCATTAGGGGGAGCTGTGAGAACTGTTATCGCCCTGCTCCATGCAGATTTGCACCAGAGGGGCACCGTGGGGAGCCTCAGCCACTTGGCATCGTCACTCATCACTGTTGCACCTGGAGTCAGGGCAAATGAAGCAGTGGCAAAAATAACAAAGCACTTAAAATCTGGGAAAGTCATACAAGATGTAAGCAGTGTTTGCACCGGGGATTACTTTTCTGTGTGCCAGGTTGAAAAACGTTGATGGCGTGGGGTTTTATCCACAGGAGGAGATATTTAGCGTCAACGAGGACCTAACAGTCATCGTTCACAGCAAACATCCTGAGCACAAACAGAATGATGCAGAGGAGGAGCAGGTGCAGCTTCACACATTTAACACTAAACAGAATTTATATGAGGAGACAAAAGATTGAGGTTATTTCTGCTTTTGCTTTAACAGATGGACCCAACGGCCAACTTGACCTTCAATCTGCGATTGTCTGATTCTGAAGCAGAAGCCAAGAATAAACTCACACTTCCATTTGTTTTCAGCAAAGAGAAGTCAGAAACTTTTTCACGTTGTTTCTTTTTTAAACATTGTAAAACTTTTCAGTTTTACTTAAAGTGCATAAAATGTAAGAACAACTGTTTTGTGTTGCAGGAAAACCGCTCTACTTCATCCAGGTATGGGTTCTGGGCGGATTCTCTATGAACCTGATGCCAACGATGACTATGACCAGGAAGATCCTGATGATGACCTTGATGTTTAGGATTAAAGCATTACTATGTCTAATACCGTTAAATAAACATTATTGTCATGTTTTTCATTCTTGTTTCCTTTACACCCTCCTAAGCTTTGAAGGTGTAAAATGAAGTATTTTTGTAATTAAGGTAAAAATGTCCATCCATCCATTTTCATCCGCTTATCCGGAGTCGGGTCGCAGGGGCAGTAGCCTAAGGCGAGAGGCCCAGACTTCCCTCCCCACAGCCAATTGGGCCAGCTCCTCCGGGGGAATCCCAAGGCCTTCCCTGGCCAGATGAGAGACAATTGGGCCATTCCCATCTGTACCTGGTCGGCCCTGCCCGGATAGCTCCAGTCGGCCCCAGCCTGGCCCGGTTGATTCCACACATCCTTGCTTAGGTAAGCAAGGAATGCAGTCAGACATTTTCAGCTTCTAGGTAATCAGCATGATAATGAATTGACAATGCCTTAAGCTTGGTTTATGCTTGACGCATTCACTTTCCGCTTGGTGATGCGGCTCACGGATGGAACGCGTTTCACAACTCGCAGCATTTATGGTTCATGCGGCTTGTCTCTGCGGTGAGCCAATGTTCTCCCAAACTGTAGGGGGCAGCATGGAGCTCTACGGCATGCATCCAACACTACACCATAGTAGAAGTAAAAATGACTGTTGTTTATAACATGGCATTCCAGCATTTTTTAACATCGTCCTCGTCTTTGCCGACAGTGCGAGCTATTTCTCTCCAAGAATTATTATTAACATGTTGATCACGGTGATCTTCGAGAGCTGAATCATACAAATGTCTGTATTTACGAACCTCTGCCATACTAGTTCTTGCCAGTCCGCCATGTTTTTCCATGTCCGACCGTCCGCGTGGTTAGAAAATTTCCTAGGTGCGCGGTGCGGAAAGTTTGGGCCGTGCAGAGACGCGGTGGAGGGGCGTGGTTGTTAAAATGACGCACCTCGCGGATGCGTCAAGCATAAACCAACCTTAAAGCCCATGTGGGTTGATTCTACCCACCAATCAGAGGCTTGCTCTAAAGGTGTGAATTTGCTGACTGATAAGCCGGCTTATCAGTCAGCAGTGGGTGTGTTGACCCTGATCAGCCTGAAGCAGACCACCTCAGAAAGAGGGCTGAAAGACAGTCTTGCTGCACCCTGAAAAAAGGCAGGCCACCAAGATATGTAAGCAAGCTATGCTATCCGGGCCGGGTCAACCAGGTACAGATGGGAATAGTCCCTCCACCA